GTCGTTTATAATTGTTCCAAAAGTCCTACCAGCTTTTCATATACATCTTTGATTCACTGCAACTTTTTTCAATATCACTAGTGCAATAAACTATGTCAAAATTCACAAATCTTTGGCAGTTCCATGCATTCCCAAAAATTATCAGCAAACTAAACAGGGAACGATACTTGGTTACCCGGCCATGTGGAATGCGATGTACACCATAATGTGCACCTCGAAACGCTGATGCTAAATCTGTGCTTGAAAACTGCGAAACGATCTTATGAAGGCAGCTATGAACTATTTTCGTAGAAAATCTGCGTACTTTTAGGTAGTTAAAATCGCCCAATTTGATCTATTTTACCATTTGAAGCTATTGAGGAGAATCTTGAAAGTGTGACGTTGTATTTATATCTATCTGAACGATATTCAGCATCTGAATAGCATAGAAAATTTTTTATTAATGATTTTCACCTTCCGCAGTAGTGCAATTTATTTTTGAAAAAATAGTCGTAACTCCATCCAGGTTCCCGTTTCGCAGATAAAGAAAACAGTATTCGAATCAGCATTAAAAGGCGCATTTTTTCATATACAAACCAATATGAATGGCCGGGGTAACCAAGTATCGTTCCCTGTTAAAAGAAAGATTTTTAGCCCAAAGATCACCACATATTTTTTAGAAGCTTTATCACGAGAAAGAGTATAATCTCCTGATGTGGTAGGATTTCCCTGTGGCAGAGCGAAGCTTCAATTCGGGACGAGGGTGGAAGAAGTCGCGGGAGGTGTGGGAACTCTTTAGAAGCCTGTTTCCAATTTTTGAAAGTAGTCTAAGTAAGTTGAATTGCGCGAATGACTTGTTTTATTCCGGGAACAGATAAAGCATAATGAATCTTTTCGAAATTCTTTTCAAAAAATGAAAGCATGACTTACGCCAAGTATTCCTTTTTCAAATTTTCGAAACTACAACCGCGAAGATTTTGGAAGACACCCGAAAAGATTTTCTGAAAGGTTAACATTAGCCTTTCATTCAAAAATTTTCTATCGTGCTACTGCCCTTCCCAATAATTTGTCAAAACACCACTTGGTCACATCGTCAGAAAAAAGGCATGCTTATTTAAGGCACACTTGATTTACCTTTCTACCTAGCATGAGTTTGTTAGCTTAAGCTATCCATCTTCCCTATCTTTTTGTTCTGCTTTTAGCAATGGCGTAGAATGCGTAAAATTCAAGGTTGCAAACTACATTGCAGACTTGTAAAGGAAACTGGCACACTTTAGTGTCAGATTCCCACATCGATCATTACCGCATGAAAGTTCTTTCTTTCAAAAAATAGCGTGCTGTAAATACGCAAATCAGAAGGAAACGGCGGTTTTAGCTATCGGAGACAAGCATGCGCGAGAAACCTTAATGTTGCCACAAGTTCTTTTCTTTTCAAAACGAAATAGAATGTTGACTCTCGATTATCCTCTTTTTTAATCCGCTATAATTTGACACTGGCTTATACCGGAGATCCTCAGCATACAAAAACGAAATTATAATCAAGTTTTAACTTAGCTATTCTGCTAACTCGGCTCGCCCATAGCATGAATTAATAAACAACATCGCCTCGGAAAAACTGTTTTATAGATTGACAAAACTGATGGTGCAACAACGTACGAGATCGCTCGCATACGGTATATCAAGTTGAGAACAAACTATTATATTTGAATTTTTGGCTGATATTGAGTGGCTAATGCTGCTCGTATTATGGGAAACAAATGCCATGGTAGCTCTGCTTTGGAAGGCGTCGAGCACTGAAGTAGACTTTCTTGCAAGTTTTTCGTTAACGTATTTTTGGGATCTTACGAAGCTTATGAGATGCACGAATTATCAACTGACACAAGGATAAGGTGAGGTGTGAAAACAAGTTAGAGGACTAGGAGGAGAAGAGAAATGCTGCCTCATAAAAAATGAGGTTGAAGACTTTCGCAGAGATTCCATCCAAAGTGACTCATCAACACAACAACAACAACAACTTACATTATTTATCTACATCATCATCCATCCGGCATCTTTCCCAGAGGTCACATTTCCAACAATGTTGGTCTTTTTAAGCAACCCATAAGCTTTATCATTGCCGAAATTATATAAGAACTCTATTAGATTTGTCTGGAAACGACTCGAAAGTGAGAGCAAATGTGAAGTCATCCTTGCCTTTCTCTCCCACCCCGTTCCATATTTAATCGCCTGTTTGTATTTCATTTTTGAGGGGTGCATCGTTTACGATGTATTCAATAAATAAAATAAAATAAAAAACAGCAAAGTCTTTCCACCTCTCTTCAAACGGTTGATGGTTGGTTGAGGCTTGGTTGAGGTTGAGGCCTTAATTACCAAAACAAATCAAATTGTCGTTTTGTTCTGATATATGATGAGAAAGAAATGGGCTACCTGACTCGCGAAAAAGTTTGTGTTTTTGAACAGAGATGTTTCAAAGAAAATGTGATGCAATACAGCTCAGGGTATGTACGAGCAAAATTTTTAACGCATTTCCTTTACTCGATTCGAAACCTGAATCGCATTGCCTTGACCTTCCTCAAAATGCTCAAACACTTAGGGTTCTTAGAAGCTGATGACTACGAATGCTTGTCTTTAGAGGCTGAAACTCAATAACCACTGTTATGCAAATCCCGTTTATATCAGGCCTTTCAACAAAAAAAAACTTCCAAGAAACCGTAACAGATTTGAGAACACCGCGTGGTTTTGCTCGCTTCCGCTGCATGTTTGCAAATGTCATTTGCGACCTTCAAGTTTTCGCAAGTCTTTGTTCTCAGCGGAAGTCTACTGTTCAAAAACAGAGATGGACTGATTCAACCACAACAAATACTAATCTTGATTAAAATGACAAAGATTACTGAAGCAGAACAACATGTGAACTGAGGTCTCCGCGGAGAAACGCGTCATTGTATCTGGCTTGTATAAGTCTACAATAAGCAACAGCATTGCTTCTGTGTTGAAAGATCATAGCTGGGCCTCTGCCATCTATGTAACAAAGATCTTCGAAATAATGAAGGCAACCATGTGCTAACAGAAGTGACACCTATCGTTGTGATGCAAAGATTTCCGTGTATTTCCGTATTGGTATCGTTTGAAAGAAGAAGTTGATGAACAAATTATATGGAACTGTTGAAAAATTTCGGTTCAGTCAATGAAACTAGATTATCAGAGATATACCATGCCTTAGCACGAGTATTATGTTTCTACAGTCCTCACTATCACAAGGGGGCACCGAGCTTTGATGAGCATGGCAATGATGATCTTCTTACTTACATAAGCTATATGCGCAAGAAGAAGATGTGCATCGAGAAATCGACAAATGAAAAAATTGAAGCGGCTCATTGAAACTTGGACAGATGTCTTAAGCGTGCGACAAAATTAAATCTACTAACTATAAGCTTCAAGCTGGAGATGGATTTGATACAAATGCTTGCTCCTTTTCAGTTCGGGGAGAAAGGTGAGGTCCTTGACCGTTTATTTATTGAAGTAGCACAGCAGTCAATACGAATACCGATCTCTTGAACTATTTTTGTAGTTTGTGGGATATGGCGACACAGGTAATCACAACTTTGTTGCTATACCATTTTTAGCTCACACGGAAGTTGACATCACAACATCATACAACTTCAGTTTCATAGAGTTTATAAGAAGGTAGCGTCTTTGAAAACAACAGATCTGATCCTCTGGATATTGCAACACATCTAAAGAATCGTGTTGAGGGGTTACAGAGGGAAACTGATTGTAATCAACATCGCAGAACCCATTTGTTCTCGAATGGATTATTCTCTCCTGGTATTCTCTTCTCCTTTTGAAGCCACTGCTTTGTGATGTCCAAAACGGAAGAGTGCTGGTTGCTCATCATCTTAATGTAAATTTCCATGGGGTTAGTGATACTTCCACCTGTTTACTGTAGCCAAAATGGAATTGTTTTCAAATTTTTAAAAATGATGAATAACCCTAATTTCACGCGTATAAGGTGCACTTTTTCGAATTTTCAAGCGAGCCGCTCAGCCGCTTCACTTTATTCCGGAAAGAAATTCTTACATTACACAATTCTCTCAAGCAGTAGACAGCACGTTATAGGGTCCATTGATTGTAAAGTCCTTTGGCGTGTCTGGGCTGGTTGATTTTGGAAAAAATTCCCCCGCGCCTTATACGCGTGAAATTAGGGTACCTGCATTGGTGTCTTGTACGTAGCTCATTTCCTGCATTTTATGCGGTGCTTACCGTTTCCCTTTCGCTAAGAATATCCTCTGGAAGAGAAAGCGAATGTGTATTACATCATCGTGGCCACAATTCACTTAAACTGTCACCGTCGCAAAGATTTCCGTATACCTTCGTGTCGGTATTCTTTGATTAGATGGAACTCAAGGTCTTTACCGGCTGTGAGTAAGAAAACATCTGCACATGGAATGTGGATGTGCAGCGGCACTGACATGAGATAGTTTAGCGTCCAGAGGTGAGAGATTTACGACAAAGGTTGCTGATATGCCGGTCTCAAAGTTTGCTATCAATTTTCCCTTAAAAGGTTTTTTGCCGTCTACGAACGGACTGCAGTAAACCGGAAACGATTAGCAGGGTAAGCACGCCAAATGGCCGAATGTAGAAAGGTCTGCTAAATACGCTGTAGCTGTATCCTTCCGATTGCGACGTACCAGAAGAAAGTGGCGCAGAAATCGTCTTGTGCTAGTAATCAAGAAATTAGGATGAAGAAAAAAGCCAAGTGGGATTTATGGACCAAGGTTTTCAAAACGACCTTCATGCACTTCGACCTAGTCAGAGCAGAACTTAACTTTCAATTAGATGGCTACGAGGAACAGAATGTAACAACACTAAATATGTAAGCATTAAACATAAGACATAATTGTGCGAGGACCAAGTTGCCATCTTGCGCGGTTTTACACATTCGATTTCTTAAGCCGAGAAAGCTGGAGATTATAGGAAATCCTGAAATGAAGTAACAGCAGAAAGAGTGTACAGAACAAATATCAAAAAATTATACTTTATTAGCAATAAGCAGAATACTCGTTGACATCACAGGATGCGGATTACAAAATATTAAAAATTTACAGCTGGCAATTGATAAGTGATTTCCATGCATTTATCAACGTAGATACTATGTTTCCCGTTGTCAGGATAAATTTCGTGCCAGTGTTATATAAATTCGTGCGACTTGTGCATCTGTTATGCCGTACGTATTTTCCCAAAATAAGAGCAATGCCAAGATTCCACATCAAGGAGTTTGTGGGAATTTAGAGCGTATCAACCTGCCGAATAACAATCTTGTGATACGGTCGACACATAAGAGCAATTGGCACAAGTGGCACCTGAAAAGAAGCAGTTAGGATATGCTATTTTCCAGTGGCGGGGATGCTAACCTCAGATGGAATCTGTGCCTCGCCTTCAGGTGCTGTGACAAACAGTGCATAGTCTCCATCTGGCTCCTTTCTGTTCATACACAGCAGAATGTCAACTACCTCACGACATGTGGTTTCTTCGGCCAGTAACAGCGACTTGTAATTCGACTGAATAATAGGATTCAGTTAATTTTTGAATTCTTAGTGCAGGACATGATGGCCGAAGGCTAGCCCTAACAACTATCACTATTGCACTCAATCGTGATAGTTGGTCAGGGTTAACCTTCGGCCATGGGATCAGAGCTCAGAGAGCGTTATTTGCAAATGTTAGTTCAGTGATAGTTTCTAAACTAGTTTTGCAGGAAATGTCTTCCAACGAACCGTGAATACGCTAAGATTCGTTAAATTTGCACTAGTGAACCAGTAATCAAAGGTGCTGGATTTGCATTTGCGCGCTTCGGGACCGCCACGGTTTCCCGCTTTCTGATGTTTTTTGAATTGGCATTATGATTTTTTATATACTAGATTTCTCCTAACAAAGCTGCCACTGTGAGGAAAACTTCTTGGAAAAAGTCTCATGTATTAAATTATTATTACAAACCCATATAGACTAGGTTAGTGCGTTATCCATTGCTAACAAAACATTCTCTCTTCTTCCTCCTTCCCCCTTCCCCCTCCCCCCCCCCAACTCGTCTGTTCCACCACTTTAGCACATTTGATGTTTGATGTTTCATGCTTTCCATGTTTTTGGTATTGGACATGAAGCGCGAGTTTGGACGTAAAGCAAACCGAGACCATTTGATGCATGAACGAAGCATAGTAAATAGTCATCCACCTTAAGCTGGGGAGAACTAGCTGTGTGATCCGCTTTATGGGGATCTAGCCGCTTTTCAGTGGTGGTGGTGGTGGAAAGTGTTTGCGAAGATGCTCCCGTGATTTAGAAAAAATGAGCAAACGCTTGCTAGCAAAGGATACACGCTCGAAGTCTGTGAGTTCTAGTACTCATAAACACAACCCCGGACGTATAATGACTAGTTAGTATAATGGCTAGCCTGAACCGTGGTTGTGAATCAAATCGCATTAGAATAAACTTGTTCTGCAAACCGAAAAAAGCCCGCGAATGGAGCATTCACGACTCGCTAGCCAAGCCATGGACTGATTTCGCTTTGAACAAACAGTTCAAGATGTCAGGGTCAAGAACGGAAGTATTTGGAATCGTAGCGCGCGAAGTTTGACAGCAAACTAGGACTAATCTTTACACATTGAAATATGATCCCCGTTCTTATTCACGAATGTTCGCGAATTCAGAGAAAGGTCCTAGACTCGGATGATAAAACTGACCTGAGGGGAAATGTTATGATCGTGTACTCTGACAAGCGCCCCTTCGGAATTCATATGAAGCATAAACTTTGACATATTTGACGGATGACACCTAAAAATAAATTATATGAGGAGAATGATTAAAATTTCACTCAAACACCCACCTTTGCAATTCGAGCGGTCTGGCTGAGCGATCCAGCCTCAGAATTGTCTTCACAGCTTTACCATTGGCTCTGGTAGTAACCTGAGCAAATAGTTCGTCATGCAGTACGGTACCACCATAAGAACGCATACCTCCATCCATAACTCAAACAGATTCGTGTCCCTGCACGAAATCTTGAATTTGTCGAGAACGGTTTCGATCACGGATCGTGTCGTGCTCTGTGTAGAGACTCGAATCGTCTTGTAGTCTGTACAGGCCTTCACATTATTTGTGTACACTCTCAGCGTTCCCTGAATTACAGGGACAGGTTAGGGTCACTTCAAATTTTGCGTAATCTCAAGACGTCGCAGCTAAGGAATCTTTGATTTTTAATCCGAAGATCCCCTTACCCAGTCACTTTCGGAATTCGCGCTGTCCACCGAACCCAGCGATGCCAGCGAGCTGCTTCTGCTTGTCAGTGTAGTGTCGTTGGTTGAAGAAGAAGGGCTGTCATAGATTGATGCGTGAATAGTGGGTCTCACTTGATACTTGAGCATTGTCTGAAAAAGTTGGAGTGAAGAGTGTTAATTTTGCGGTTAAAATGAGGCAAATCAAAGGAATTAAAAAGGAAGCATTAGATGCTGCAGGAAGTAACCCTTTTCAGCACAGCGAAGAACAGCAAAATGTTAGCGGACATTGGCATATAACTGATAGCGTGAACGAAGAAAACTATCAAAAAGAGAAGGTCACAAAATCGAAGTAGCCGATCACCCGTACTGCATAAAATCAGTGAAATCTTCTAGCGCTGATTTCGAATCAACTTTCCTTATCTACAGAGCTTTTGGAAAAGAAGTTATGGGCTTTATTTGGAGTCAGGAAATGAACTAATGGTCGGGATAAAATTGTTCGTTACAGCCTAGACCTTGAATGAAGCGCGGCAAGTCTCAGGACACTTCAAACAATAAACTCCTTCTGCATAGTATATCAGTACTTCCTATTTCTCTTTAACCTCCAGAAAGGCGTAACTATAAATCCTATCTTAGCCATTGATGTATTTCTTCAATGACAACTTTTTCCCAAAAAGGCTCCGTAGATACTGGAAGCAGATTCGGAAACAGCGTCCAAGCCTCTACTAATAATTTGCAGCTTACAGTGATCGGCCACTTCGACTTCGTGACCCTCACTTGTAAGGACATTCACAAGGAAACCGATAGTAACAAACTTTTCTCATTGGGAAAGAAGACATTAATCGAATGAGCAGAGAAGCAAGCAATCGTTTGCACAAAAGTCGATATCAGAATTGCATTAAAGTAAAGATTGATCGGAAGACTATACTGAGCAGCTGACGTAACTGGTCGCGGGCATATGGCTAATGAAGTAGAAGTTTTTTTTAAATGCAGCATATTCTTGAAATTTTTTTATTGACTTGCCAAGCTAAATTTGCGAATGCTACAATTCTCACATGGGCGATGAATTTTTAGCATAGAAAATCAATAGCGGTCGACAAAAGTGATCACTTAGTACTGAACAAACATAACGAGGCTATTTACAAGCAGACTGGATCAGCAGAGGATCAACACAGTGAAAGGCTAGCGCCATGCCAAGGGCCATTGCTCAGCCGATTGAAAGGGACTTGACGACAAGTGGCTACTTTGTGAAGATCTAAGAAAAATTCTGCTGAGCGCAGCGCAGAAAGAGATCGGATATCAGGCATGGTTCACCAGTATTTGCAAAATGATGCGAAAATAAATGAGAATTATTGCGCTGCTGCGTTATGAGAACGAAAAAAACTAAAGTCAAATGTTCGATTTTGCGCTGGAATTTTGAAGATAATAGGAATTTTGCAAATAAATGCAACAATGCTCAGGAAAGTAGACTACAGCCAAAAGTATGAAAGTACAATTGTGCAGTAGTGGCACATAAGGCTTGCGCCGGAAAGCAATAAAAGTAGTATTTTTAGTTACATACAAAGAGAGGTAATGCAAAAGTGGCCCAACTTGTAGTTGTTTCTTACTGAACTTTTCTGGTTTCTACAACACAAAACTATCGTAAAATAGCTTGAAACCAAATGACAAGCAGCAGAAGTGTTCAGATGTGGCGCGATCGAGAGGGCGGGACAATCGCAGTGGGCGGTTTCCGGGATGATTAGAGAACGCTGACACCAGCATTAGAGATTAGTAGGTTAGCAACCCTTTCTTCTTTGAATTGGGTATATAGATCTTCATTGAATTCCGGGGCATTTCCCTATGTGACACGTCCCTATGTAACTAATGTACTTTCTAATTTGTTTTTGCATTTGTAGTTAAAATTAGTCGTGGGCATAGATCACTGACAAACAGTGTTAGCAGCTATGCAAACATCATCTCAACCTTATTACGCCGACCCGGCTGAACTAACAGAACAATCAAACTTTGCGATGAAAGTACACGTATATTACTGTTCCTAAGATCCCAAATTATAGTCTCCTTATGTTTATGCGAGTTGGACGCAAACGCTTTTTTGTGCTAGAATAAGAGGATGCTCTTTAGCAACAGCAAGACCAGGACACACTAAAATCCGCGGCAACGCTGAATGTGATTTTAAATAACTCAGTAATTGCATGCAAGGGTTGGCTATTAACTTATCTGCGCTACTGTTCGGTACAGTGGCATTGAGAAGAAGGTCGAGTACGTCACAAGCACATTTTGATATGCAATAATGTTACGACACAAATCATAGTACAATTTCATCACTGAAATGTCCACGCGATGGGAAGCACTGATAGTGCCCTGGAGCAAAGATGAGGTTTTTCAGTGACGGCGCTGACTGAAGATTTGGCAACTATGGGCTTTCAAACAAAGCCGAACGAGCATACGAATCAGTAAGTCCATGCAAAAATCTAATAAATACATTTCTCAATTTGAGAAGAGACAAGTGAAGCTTGGGAAGTGTGCTAGCTAAAAGAGAAATCGTGAGTGGGCGTAACTCAAATGATCACTTTAGACCAAAGTGAAGAATGCTGAAAACATTCGAGTTTGAAGAACTAACAATCTTCGCCAAAACTTCTGATCACGCACTTTAGCTGCTTGCATTTCAACACAGCCAAAGAAAAAGAATAAGTAGGTATGCCTGATCTGACTTCGGGTTGCAGAACATGGGAAGTTGAGATTTCCTTGGAATTTTGTTTTCTTCGTTTTTCAAACGACTAAGCAGCTTTTCATGGCAGTTTTACTGTTTTGTAGGAGAAAGATAATGCATAACATTGCGAAACACATAAACTTGCAATAAAAACGTCTCAACGATTCTTTTTTGACGACGCAATCGCTTATCTCTACATTTTCGGTAACTAAATGCGATTATGACCTTATCGTTTGAAAAGCAACCGTTCCGATGACTGCTCATAAAAAGTCTGATGTTTAGTAGAATTTAAAAACTGTCTTTTGCTGAATTTGGCACAGATGCAATAAAACTTCACAAAGGATACAAAAATATTATTGCTGCTGGCCTCAGGTAATCATTAAATTAAACCAATGTTTATACAGCCACTTATAACCTCAAACCACTCGTAACAGCTGTTCTCACCCCAGCTTGAGAATAGGCGTGATAGCAATTTATAGATGAAGAAAAATTGCAAATGATGCATTAGGTTTGCAAGGGATAGCTTTTCCATTTTTTGTTAGATTAGCGGATCCTTGAAGCAAACCAGACTACCTCGATTACGATGTAATCCTTTTATCAACTAAGCCGCTGGAATGACACAAGCGATATTTTTGCCAATGCTACCCGGAACCGGTTGATAACCAGATAAAGGCAAATACCAATCCTCACTATCGAGGAAGTTTTTTGCTGCAAGTTAGAGCGTTTCTAGCAAGTTGAGCGATTTCCACAGGAATCTTCGATGATCTGAAAAACTAGCTATGCAAGGAGCTCATTACCCCACTCTAAGTATAGCACACTGTGAATTACGTTCAAAATGTCTAATGCGTTTTTGTTTCGACCATTCAAGGATCTCGATGAAGAGCGAAGTGCAAACAAAGCGTTTTCTTTGAAGATGTGTCTGACAAGGAAAGGATAGTTGGATGCCGCGGCCATTCCTAATGATTTGTATACCAAAAAATGCGCCTTCGAATGCAAATTCTGAATGTGCTCGAAATCTGCGAAACGATCTTTTGAAGAAAGTTATGAACTTTTTTCCTTGAAAATTTAGCCTACTTTTGGATGGTAAAAATCACCAGTGATCTAGCCTACCGTTTGATGCTACTGAAGAAAATTTTAGACGTAGTAATATTTATTTAGACTATCTGGATCATACTCAGCATTTGGAAAGAAGAGAAAATTTTTTATTGATGATTTTGACCCTCCGCAGGAACGCAATTTTTTAATGAAAAAAAATCACAACTCCATTCAGATTATCGTTTCGCAGATATGAAAGACAGTCTACGAACCAGCATTCAAAAGCGCATTTTTTGGTATACAAATCATTATGAATGGCTACGGCATCCAAGTATCCTTCCCCTATGAGTAAGAAAAGCACCTGCTCAACTTATGGCAAATTGATCCCTGTCTCATGGATCGACGCATGATAAAAGTGATTGTAAAAACGCGGAAGAGCTTATTGAAGAAATTTACTAGCGTGTTAGAGTTTGAAGTGTTAGAGCGTTCAAAGCTCAGACGCTTGAATTAATTCAATAAAATAAGTATACATTGAGTTGTTCCAAAAGTTTGCCGGTTCTTTCTCACTGGTCATTACAACTCGCAAAACACTGATTAATGAACGACTTATAGGTACCGTTCGATATAGACTGACCTCTCTATTATAGCTGTATTTTCTTTCTGATCTATGCTGTTTCAACTGTGTTATCGCCTCACTGGCAAATCGCCTATCGCCTCAACGCCAAATCTTCCTAGAATTCAAAACAAATCTTATCCTAGTATTTTTGAAGAGCGCTGGTAACTGTCATATAGAGTAAACTCTTCATCGTTGAGCAAAGAAAAACTTTTTGTTGGGAAATGATGCCAGTAAAGGAAGGTTGGCTGACTTTCACTATGAGTTTCTCGAAGTTTCATTGCTAGAAATCGTAGATAAACTTCCTGCGCTACTCTATAGTTATACAGGGTGTCCCAAAAAATGTTTAGAGCTGATGTTAATATCTCTCTTCCCAAGAAGTCTTTTGCCTTGCTTCAGGTACCGTTTTGTAGAGCTGGCTTCAACTTAGATTTCCATTATAGAACGAATCACCCATCTCTCTTCATTACTGTAGGGTTACGGTAGAAACTTCAAAGAGGGTTTGAACCATGAAAGGCCATATTTTGCCTCAGAAAGGAAACAAAACAGCCTGAAAACTTTTACACCAGGCTAATTAGAATTGTTGATTATAACTGTAAAGTTCCCAACTTATTATGATGCTTCATTGAAGAGTTATGCCAGGTGAGAGGTAGCGGCCTTTTTTTCAATGTTCCTAAAAAGTGCGATTACACCGTTTAGAAAGCTTCGCAATCTTGTGAATAGTTGAGCATTGAACTCAGCGTCTATAAAAACCCACAAGCTTTCACAATTTTTTGAAAAATTTTGAAACGGCAGCTTTTTCCACATTGACACCATATGTCGCAAGTTTCTACCGTAACCCTACAGTAATGA